AAAGTAATGCCATTTGCAGCAACATGGATGGACCTGGAGATTGTCATTGGAAGTGAAATAAGCCAAAAGAGAAAGCAAAATACCATGTATCACTCATATGAGGAATTTTTTTAAAAAGACACAAATGAACTTTGTAAATACAAAACAGAAACAGACTCACCGACATAGAACACAAACTTATGGTTACCAGAGGGGGGAAGGGGAACTAAAGTGATAAATTGGGAGTTTGAGATTTGTAGACACTAACTAATATATGTATATAATAGATAAATAAGTTTATACTGTATAGCACAGATATTCAATATCTTTTAGTAACCTATAATGAAAAAGAATGCGAAAAGGAATATATGTATGTATATGTATGACTAAAACATTATGCTGTACACCGGAAATGGACACACTGTAAACTGACTATACTTCAATTTAAAAAAGAAAGTTTCCAGAAAAAGATATATTTATATCAGAACTGTAAATGAAAGACTTCTTCCTGACTTAAAGTCTAGTTTGGGAGATTGCATTTACTTTGCTGTTGGAGAGGCTGGGGGGCCTTGGAGAGGTCCTGGTCTCCGTCACCAACTCCTGCACCTTCTGTGATGTTTGTTTGCACTATGGCTGCTGTCCAGCAGTCCCCAAGGCCCTCCTCTGTCCCTGTAGCCCATTTTTTTGCTTCCCAAGTATTGTCACCCTTCTTTGCCAGCCACCCCTGTGTGTGAGCCATCGAGCAGGCCCCACATCAAAAACAAGAGTCTGTGAGGCCCCAGGTCTTGGCGAGTCCAGGTGAAGCCTGGTTTTCAGGACACGGTTTCAGCAATACTCTAGTCTCACAGACCTGATCTCAATCATGACCATCCTGTTTCCAGGATTTGATCTTCTGGAGATCCTCTGGTGAAACATAGCCTATCTACAGGTCACTTTGTAACCTTTGTTGGTCAAGACTGTGGTTTTCATCATCAGGGAGTTTTATAAATGATAGTGGGTATAAAATTATCTCACCTGTACTATCATAAGGGAGGTCAGTGACATTTTTTCTGCCTAAGCTTAGACTAATTTAACTTGAAGGTAGACAAACATAGATTTATCTCTGTAATTAGGAAGGAACACAGCTTCCTAGACTGATCCACAGTGAGACATTTGTTTGCATTTACCCGAGATAACAGCTTAGTCACTCACCTGAGACAGAACTTAATCATCACTTACATGTGATGATGCCGGAATCCAACACATTCTCAGCAGGAGAGGTAAAGGGCCTAGGAGATTGATATGACAAGAGAAAGGAGTGCAGCGTTTACTTAAAACCCAGAGTGACTCTTTCCAGGAGGAATGATCGTTGACACCGTGTAAAAATTCTAATTCTGAAAAACTATGAAATCTCAATCAAGTCGTCGTCAGTCTGATAAGGTCTAAGGAGGTGACGAATATTGGACTGTTGATAGGGCCTGTCCAATCTGTTTTTTTATTTATAGGCTGTGTAACATTGTGTGGCAGTGTCTCAGTGAAGCCAGCGCTTCCTAGCTGGTAATAAAAGTGTCCCCTGGTAGGTGAAGTCAGGCTTGGTTGGTGTAAGCGTTTCTGTCTGTCTCACTGCTCTGAAACTCCTGCTGAGAAGTTTTCAGGGCCCATAACTGGCTTAAATTGAGCTGGAGATGGGAGAAGAAATAACCCGCCAAAGCCAAGTGAAGGTTGATCCCGTGTTCCCAGCATCTGCTGCTGCTTCTGTGGATACTTAAAACTGCCACTCATTTATCTGTCTTGCCCGCCTGGCTCTGAGCATCCTCCTGGCCAGCAGGGACCCTTCAGTAAACATTTGTTGAAAGAAGAGGACTGGTTTGGTTTGTTTAGTTGACTCTTGGAGTTGGTGTCCCTGAAAGGGCTTTATCCTCTTGTTTTAAAAAAAATAGCAACTGAATTTTTTATTTTCATGACTTAAGTGAGATGTTATTTCCTCTGCCTTGTCAGTGGGAGTTCAGCTTCACTGACGGTAACTTTAAAGTTACTGAGAGGCCTTGAGGAAGCGGCCCATTTCCCCTCCCACGCTCTCCTCACTCAAACACAGGCGAAAGTCTCTGCTGTTTGGATTCTGCATACTTTCAGTTTGCTGCTGACAAGACCTGCGCAGTCAGGGGTGCCTCCAGGAATCATCTTGCCTGTGTCAGGAATGAACTTGCCTGAGTTTCCATGGTGTCTTTAAGTACACAAAAACCTGAAATTGAATTGACTCATAGATGAATTTCGCTTCCGCTTTGAGAAGCTCCAGAATTAATGCCACATCAGTCAACACTTATAAATGACGACAATGAGCAAGATGCTAAGCTGAGTGCAGCAAAAAAAAAAAGTTCCTTGCTTTTAAGGATCTCAGTCTCGTAGGTGTATTGATAAGGCAATTGGGAGAAAAAAGTTAACAGTGCGAGGTGTTAATTGATGAGGGGGCGGGTGAGTTGTAAAGCCGGCAGCAGCAGGGCCCAGGTGACTGGGATGGAAGGCTCTGTGGAGCTTGAGCTTGTGCTCGCTGGGGAGGCCTTCAGAGGAGGAGCCTGTTCAGGGAAAAGAGGGGTGGAGACTCTCTAAAAAGAAGTCATTTTAACCTGAGGACACCTGATACTCTGTCATTAAATGACACTGATTGGGTGGGTTGGCATAGAGGCGAGCTCTGCAATCCAGTCAATGCAAAGCTAGGGGCCCTGAATCAGGACCACCACGTGCTGAAGGCACAGTGCCCTGCCCTGCACAGGGAGGGCAGGGCACAGACGGGCTGAAATTCAGCTGCTGCGCTTCCTTGGCACCTTGGTGCTGGGCTCTTTCTGCCCAGAGCTAGGGGCACCGTTTCTCTGCCAAGCTGTGCATCAGCAGAGCTGCATCCAGGCAGAGAGCACCTTTGAAGAGTCCTAGGCAGGAGTGGCTCTGTGAGTACACAGAAGTGCCATACAGGACTGCTACCTCCCTGCCTCCGAGTCTTAATCTGGCCCTGCATGGAATTCAGTAAATGTTTGAGTCAATGCAGAGGTGGATTACTGAAGTTCCACACACACTTCATCTCTCTACTTAAAGAGGGACTCTGAAGTGGATTTCTTACACTTTTGAAGAATAGGAGTAATGTGTGTGTGTGGTGGGGGTGGAGGTTAGAAAAGGCAGAGATGGCTTGAAGGGCCGCTAACAGTTCTAAATTTTTTTGAGTCCATAGGTTATTAAACTTGATGCTAAATTAAAATGAAATCATCTATTTTAACCCAAGCAATATTTCAAGGCTTCCCATGTACTTTCTGTCACATAATGCAACTCAGTTATGGACTGAGCCCTTTTATTGTACATAAGTGCTTTAAAAGAATTAAAGAAGTAGAAGGTTGAGCCCATGTCCTCAGATGTTTACCTACTTAGGAAAAGAGAAATGCTCACTATAAAATGAGAGCATCAACCATTTGTAGAGATTATTACTCAGATACCTTGTCAGATGCACTTGGTCTTGATTTTGACATTACAATAGGACTCCTATGCGAGCTGGAATCTTCATGTGCTGTGAGAAGTGGTAAGCAAGCAACCACAAAGGTTCAAGCGACCAATAACATTTCCTGCCTGTGCAGTCGTTTGCAAGTGAGAACGCCAAAGGGGTGGTAAGTTAGGATTAGAATTAGCTACAGTGTCACAGCAGTGCCGTCTTCCTTTGTGCCTAGCCACCGTGGAGTTCTCACATTCTAGAAGTATGTCTTGTGAGTCCTCCGCTGTGCAGGCTGACATCAGAGATGGCCTGATCTGTGCGTAACACCTTGTGTTGTCCCTTACCACATTCCTTCCTCTCTTCCCGTAATGGAAACGGTTTCCCCTGATCCTGAAACTCAGGAAGCTCACCTCTATGCCCACCGCACTGGCCACCCTCCATTCATTCGTGGTTCAGCATGCGGACCTTCTCGACTTACTATCTCCTTTACTCCTTCTTTGACCAAGTCAGACCTCGTTTTCCAAAAGCCTGTTGAGCACAATTATCTACCAGCATTGTCCTAGACCTTGTAGGCAGAATAAAAATCAGTAAGGTTCTCCTCCCACACTGAAAAGTTAATAAGGGGGCTTGATGGAGACAAAAGTGTTGGGGGGATGGCTGGATGGCAGCGGAGAAAGGAGAATGGATGTGTACACAAAGGCCTCCCAGATGGACAGACCTGAGTTTGAATCCCATCTCAGATGGACACTAGTTCTGCCAACTTGGGCAAGATAGGGAATCTGAGGCTCTCAGATAGTGAATATCTATGAAATGGGGGGTAAAAATTCCCAGCTAGCCTGAGTGGTGGCACGGATTAGAGACTGTAAATTGCTTAGAGAACTGCTTGGTGAAATTGACAGCCACCCAAACCGGGACCGGAAAACTACAACAAAAGGTGAATAGTGACGTAAGTGCAAACAGAGCAGGAAGGCTCACACCTGGCAGGAGGCCACATGTGAGCCCTGCGTAGGGGCCCTCCCAGCCTCCAGGTGATCTGCCACCTCCCAGGTGGCTGGGCAGGGCAGAGCTGGGCAGCGCAGGACCCACGGGCTGCCAAACCGGGAACAGCAAGTCCCCACAAAGTCAGACGTTTACCTACACTGAAACCTGCACGTGTTCCTGAAGCAGGCCTGCCCTGGAGCTCCTACCCTGGGGGCAGTAGCTGAGGAGGGGAGAATGGAGAGTTGGAAAGGACACAGCTGCCCAAGTTGACTTCAGCCTCTCGTGGGGGTTGAAGATCATTCCTCTCTCCAGAAAGCAAGGTTACTTCATCGTTTCTGCATTCTCCCTCCTCTGGATGTTTAAGGTGAAGTGTTTTCTCTTCTCCAGCTCAGAGGCTGAGAATGGTGTGGAGGAGAAAAAGAAGGTCTGCAGGTCGCCAACAGCCCAGTCCCCTGCTCCGACCAGTGAGGCCGAGTCCCAAGACCAGAAGAGAATCATTTCCCTGCGGTGAGTCCTCGCACTGACTCTCTCCGTTCTTTTGGCCTCTGGGGAGGTGGGGTTGCTGCAGGAGCTGATGTGTCTGGTTTTATGGCGGTGGTTGAATGAAGATCTCCTGTAGGCAGATAAGACCCCCGAGAAAGAAGTGGGCCCTGGTGCTTGCCTTCCTCTCTCACCTCTTGCTAGCAGCCTCTCTGCACTTTCCTGCCCCAGCCTTCTGCAGAATTTCTGCCCCTTTCTGAAAACACTGATTTTGCTAAGTGGTAAAGCCAGGGTGGCCCCCTCTCTGGCATGCAGTTATAAAGCACTTGGAGAGGCTGGCAGGGTTGCTGATGCGGCCCGCCCGGGCTGGAGTATCTGCCCAGCCTGTGGGTGTGAACACCTGCTGTCTCACTTTCCTGGCAGCCAGGAAAAGAGCAGAGGGGAACCCTGCCTGGGTGTGCTGGAAGACAGACTCAGTTTGGCCACGGGGCTGTCAGGGGACAGGCGGTTTTGAGATGGGGAGCTCTGGTTCCCATCACACTCAGGGGCACTAGTTAGGTGCTGTCTTTCACATGGAAGGAAGAAGTAGGAACTTCAGGTTGCTTTTTTTGCCCTTAAAAGAGAATGGTTACGCCAAGGATCAATTATAGGTAACTGTGGCCGTTTATCTACACCTAGTGGAAAGGTGCTAGCTCTCCTCCTCTTATTAGAACTGTCAGAACTGCTGCCTTCTACATCTTTTGGCCTCTCTAAAGGATGAGTAAATAACTCCTGCTTTTCCCTTCCTTCCTGGCTACTCAGCCCATATCTTCTCTCCAAACCTATACCTCACCCAAGACCAAGCGTAAGTCTGCACTCGGCCCCCAGCATTTTCTTTTCCGACTGTCACTCCCAATTCTCTATCTTTTCTGCATGCCTGTTTCAACACATCTCACTTTTAACCTTTCTTTCTATAGCTGTTTCCTGTCAGAGCATCCTGCCTCACTCACCAAGCATGTTGTTTCTTGTATCTTTCACCACTGTGGACTGGCTACCGCAGGCACTCTGAAAACATGGCTGGTTTAACTCCACCTTCCCCAGGCTACGGATGAGAACAGTACACATATCATGGCCAGGGCATGCTTGTTATACTTCACGGCGTGTGATCTCTGTAGCTGCAAAGAGCCCTGTGCTTGGTTTAATGCTCAGCTCTCGCTGTCTGGAAAGTTTTTAATAAAAATTCTGCACTGGGCTTGCGGGCCTGCTCATCATCACCTGTAGGAAGTAAGATTAACACCATTGAGAAGACACAAAGAAATCATTGTGTGCAAATAAGCACCCAGCCCCACCTCAGAGCCCAGTGCTGTGCAGAAAGGCCCCTTCTGCTTGTGCTTCTCGGAATCATCAAAGGCACAGCTGCCCTTCTGTCACACTGGCTTACAGTCCATAGTTCTCCAAAGGTCTGATTGTTGCCTTGACGGTACCATTAACATTTATTAATTTGAGTCAATAGAGGTGATAAATTCAAATTAGTCAGTAGTATAAATAATAGGTAATTTGACATTTGTAAAAACAACTTTAATTTCAATTAGAGTACAAATGTTTACTCGTAATCTTTTTAAAAGTAACTTCTGGGGTTCTAAAGGAATTTTATATCTGTGAATTGGTTCAAGGGCCAGTAGCTGTATCCAAATCCATGTGCCTTGAATTGATGAGAGGTATTCCACCTGTGGTTTGAGCATCGTGGACTCAAACTGATGGGGCTGGCAGGGGCCGAGAACATCGCGTAGTCCATCTTTTCAGAGCAGAGAAAACCAGAGCCTAAAGTCTCCCTAACTTGATTTCTGTCCCTCTGTCACACGCACAGACCACCCAAATTGCATACGATTTTTCTTATATTCACTGTGAACCAAATATTGTTTTTAACTGAGCCTTGTCCTAAAGAATCCTGCTATGGAATCATGGGTTTCATGTGCCATTTTCCCCTCAATGAACAAAAAAAAATCTACATAATTGTATCAAAACCTTGTTCATGTACATACGTCTGAAAACGGTGCTTGCGTTCCACTCTGAAATGGCTGTTTCACTGTAGGGTTGAAAATATGTGCAGACTGTACTCAGACAGAGCCAGGAGTGGAATCACTTTAGAAAGAAATCCTGGAGCCCTGCCCTCTGCCCTTATGAGAACAACAGAAAGGTTTCCAAACATGTCCTTCTTTTTCATCTTGATTTCACTTCTGTTTTCCCACTCTGGGATGCTGTCTCTCTTTTCCTCACATCTAATTCCTGCTCACCCAGTTAGGCCCCATGTATTAAACCTACATCGTCCTGTTTGTCTCTTTTCTTCTGTCCTATTAGACTTACTGTCTCTATACCTCCTCCTGACGCCTACGATGCATATTATTTCGGTGCTGCATCATGCCCTGCCTTTTTAAAAAGATGTTTTTGATGTGCACACAGGCTTCTTGTGCCCCCCAAGGCATTTAACCCAATGCCCCACTCAATTAACACTTGTTAAATATTATTAGAATTCTGAAACAAAGAGTCTTTGATTGAACTATAGCTGCCATTTTAATAATCAGCCTCTAGTACTCCTCTTCATGCTGCTTAAAATACTTTTGAGATGATAGAGTTACTTTCACAACTCCATTGATAACTTCTCCCATCCATAAATTACAGTTTCTGCAGTTTGAGATTACAGCCTGCTGACATCACCCCCGTCTCCTAAATCCCGTGCTGTGTCATTGCCCTTAGACTATTAGGAGTGACTGTTAATGTCTAGTAGAGAAAAATGAATGTCAGGACTTCTTGTGAGCTGGTATAATAATCAAGATTTATTACAATAAAATTAATGAGTAGTGTAAAAAAATTCATCTTATAGGCTCCTTGGATTTTCTTTCTTCAGGTCGAAATCCAGTTTTGACGGTGTCTCTTTAGTAAGTGAGAAGAACGACTGTAAAACTGAAAGCAAAAATGACTCTAAGATTGAAAGGAAAAAGTCCTCATCTTCCAGCCAGGTAATTTGGGAACGAGATGTGTCTTGTCCCAGAGGGTGACAGAAGCATTAAAGCTAATGGAAGGAAGGAACACAGGGTCAGGGACTAACAGAGGCTTAGATTTTAGAGAATCGGAAAGGACAGGCAGTTCCTTCAGGCGTCTTTCATCAGTATGACATGTCACAGCTGACCTTTCAACACATACTGCATGCTGTGACCTCTCACCTGACAAGTGCCGGAGAGCAGGGACCAGCCCAGAGGCCTGTGCTTGTCTGATGATTAGCCAAGACCAGGTGAGGTGTGACATCTTTGCAGTACAATTAAAGAGTCTGATAGGGCACCTGTGTGAATACAAGGCCTCCCACTGGTGCACGGAGGAGGAAACCTGGGAACAGGGTCATGGTTCTCCCCCAGAAGCAGTTCTGGTTCTGCTCCAAAATACACCCAGATGTAGGTCACAAAGCCGGTTCTGTGTCGTAGAGTGTGGCACACTTCCTGCGGCCAACAGTTTGGGGCTTTTTGACACTTCAGCCCTAAATACTTGAATATGTGTCTCCTAAGAACTAGACCAAGAAACTATTGGCACACCCAAGAAATTTAACTAAATAGCAAGTATACAAAAATATTATTAACATAAAATCCATTTTTGAATTTCCACAACTGTCTCAGGAGGGACGTCCCCTGTCTCTAAAAGCCCACCATGAGCCCTGCACTGACAACACTGTAAATCAACTATACTTCAGTAAGAAAAAAAAAGAGCTATGCATTGCATGTATTTGTCATGCCACCTTTAATTCAGATCAGTTCCTACCTGCTTAAAAATGTTATTTTTACTAAATTCACATTTTTGAAGACTCCATGGCCCAGGATATTTTTAAATCAAGCATGCAACCAGTGCTCACTGTAGCCATTAAAAAAAAAGTCTCAGTAAAGCCCTCACAGGAGACCTAGCTTTAATCAAGGAAACTTTCTGGATGCAAGATGTACTCCTGCGGGGAGCGTATAGCTCAGTGGTAGAGCACATGCCTAGCATGCACAAGGTCATGGGTTCAATCCCCAGTATCTACATCAAATTAATAATAATAATAATAATAAGTAAATAAACCTAATTACCTCCCCCCAAAAAACAAACAAAAAAATTATTTTAAAAAGAGGTACTTCTGGAAAGCTGCATGAGCTCCCCTACTTTATATGAGGCATTCATCTGTGAAATAGCTGGCTTGCAGGGACCAACCATCATCTGCATGGCCTGTCTGCAACTCTTCTCTACAGCAATCCTAGGGACATTTATGCCCTTGAGACCACTTCTAGTTTGGATAATTATCATCAAGGGCCTACTTGTGCTTTCTCTCTGTTGTGCTCATAAGACTCTGCCCAATAGGATGCTTTTGAAGAAGAGTGGTCCTGTGGACGGAGGACCCAGCTCTCCCTCCTGGTAGCCGTGTGGTGCCTGAGACACAGTGTCCTGACCTATGCAATGGGGACATCAGTTCCCAGGTCATTGTAGGGGTGGGGGTGGTGTCTGTGAAAGCATTTTACAAGCTATATAATTGCTGTCTATCCACAGTTGTCACAGCTGTGGAAACAGATGCCTCGAAAATGAAGTGATGTGCAGCATGTCAGACTGTTGGGCCTTGTACCACCCTAGGGCGTTAAGTCTTGTGTGTGAAATCCTACTTGTCATCTCCCCCAACACTGGCCAAGGAAATGCCTTCACAGCAGTACTAGGGAAAATGACAAAACCAGGGAGTAGGTCCTTTAGTTGTCTTACCCTGTTCAAGCCTTACGGCATCCCTTTGAGGCAGGTGCTGTTTTACCCTCTGGCACAGAAGAGAGGACTGTGGCCCAGAGAGGTTAAGTAACTAGGCCGCAATCACACACCACAGAAGAGATGCGGCCAAGACTTAAACTCAGGGTTATCTGAGAACAGAGCTTTTAATCACTACCCTCTTCTAAGAGTACTCTCTTGTATCTTTAGTGTTCTGGGATCCACTACCTGGTGAGATTTCTTACAATTCCATCTCACGCCTTGTTAGGGACGTCCTTGTCCAGACACTTCGGCAGAAGGCTGACCACCAGCTGCATCATGCTTATAGATGACTGTCCAACTAGCAAGTCACTAATCTTGCTGGAAAATGACACCTTTGTGCCTTGCCTTCCACTGTTGTTCACTGAAGGGTTGTGTTGGAGATCAGATCAGAGAGAAGGAATTCTTAAAGATACTTTATTCAGGGAGGGGCAATTTGTTGCATAATTTAAATTGAAGTTACAGTCTGTGATATTTCCACAAGCGAGAGCAGTGGTACCTGTGTTCTGTCCCTCTTGTAGGACAAGGCAAACATGCACTTCCACAAGTTGTTTCTGGATGTCCCCACCGAGGAACCCCTGAGGCAAAGTAAGTTCTCACCTTTTTGACTTTTTAAAAAAATTTTCTGTGTGAGTTAATACAGGGTGATTTGTTTGTTTTATTTATTTTTAGGGGGGAGTTAATTAGGTTTATTTATTTATTTATTTAAACGGAGGTACCGGGGATTGAACCCAGGACCTTGCACATGCTAAAGCACACGCTCTACCATTGAGCTACACCCTCCCCCTCAAATTTGTTTTGCGTTTTTTTTGGGGGGGTGTAATTAGGTTTCTTTATATATTTTTTAATTAATTTTTAATTTAATTTTTTTTTTTTAGTAGAGATACTGGGGGTTGAACCCAGGACCCCATGTATACTAAGCATGCACTCTACTACTGAGCTATACCCTCCCCCTTTTTGACTTTTTAAGCTACCTATTTGAAAAGATGATCATTGATTTGGGGAGAGAAGAGCCTGGGGACCTAATCACGAAGGGGAATAGGTTTCTGAAAGTCATGGTGTAACAGTAATGCCGACTTCATTCATTCAACTTTCACCAAACACCTTGAAAGGTAAGGGAGTAGAATGGGAAACTGAATTTCTCTCCGTGATATGGAATCATCCATTGCCTCCCATGTTCACTGCTGAAATGCGTTGTGATTGGATTGTACTGAGTTTTAGGACAACAAAATAAGAGCAAGAGAGGCCACCAGAAGAAGGCCACATAGACCTAGATGGACAGATGTGTCAACCTTGAGCTTTGCAGGGCTCAGTGATCACATCTAAACGTCTGGCCAGTGGGCCAGATAAGCACCTGTTCCGCTCCGCTGAGGTGCATCAGGGCCCATGGTTCCATCCCAGCCTCCCTTGGTCTACAAATGTTCAGGCGACACGCTGGATTCCCACCACCATCTCCAAACA